AAGGCTGTGATCAAAAGAACTGTGAGAAAAGTATTAGTAAAGGTATCTGGGTTTATTAATACTTTTAGGCCATAGGAGACAGTTAAAGATAGTACTTTTTTGCTAATGGCTAATGTCCATAAAAGAAAATGAACATGCTTTCAGGCAAAAATGTCCTTTTTTTTTTTTTTCTGATAAGGGTTATCAAATTTCAAGCAAAATCAAATTAAAATCAATTCCTCTAGTGTTATTCCTATTAGGTAGATTAGTTAAATAGTGTAAGAGAAACTGGGCAGGTAAAGCATACAATGCAGAGAGATAAAGCTATCTCTGCTGGTTAATGAGGAAGGAAAGGAATAAAATAGGGAGCGAGTGCAATGTACCATGTAATGTCCATCTTTGCTGAGCTCAGGATCTTTGATGTGTACTAGATTAATGAATTTCCAGGCTCATCTTGTGTACGTGTTTTGTGCCTGCACTGAGAATGAACAGTGAAAACTGCTGGTACAGGACAAATGGTGAGAATGCCATCTGAACTGGGAAAGGATTGGGGACTGCTGCTGGTCGTGGCACTGCAGGTTTACAGTGACTTACATGGCTTTGGCAACTGCAGCCTGAGATAGAAGAGTTGCAGTCTGGCTGTGTGAATTTCAACATGAGAAAAAGAAAAATTGTTTAGACTATAGAAGCTTTTATTTTAATCAGCTAACATTACCCTAAAAAAATCTCATTCTCATCAGCTTTGGTGCCAGCTCTTATTTGTTATGAATAAAGACCTGAATAAATAAATATATGTAATACAGTTATAAATAAATATATTTTATTGAGGCTCCTGTTCTTTATCAGGGCATTCTGAATTTCATACCCTGGAATTATAACAGGACAGCTCTTACAGAACAGGTTTTGTGCATGAAGAGGTGTAGCTGTGTGAAGTTTGCAGCTGTCCCAATAAATGAAAGGACAGGTTGTACTGCATATGGCTTACATCTATGGTGACTTGTAGGATTGTATCCTTTGTGTTATATGAACTGTACCATGCAAAAATTGTTGAACTTCCACAAAATTTGTATACTATTGTTCTCTGTCATGACATAGAAATGCGTAATCTTCTATTTTTTTCTTACCTGTTTTTTAATAACTGACAGCAATGCAAAAGAAAAATATCTTGTGTTTGTGAGTTCACATAGTTCAGGTGCTTATATTTCACCTGGAAATAAAATCATTTGACACATCAGAGTAATATAATTAAAATTAGTTATGATCTAATAGAAGATTATAGCTTCAGATGAAGACTAACACTGAACAACAGATAAACTCAGAAGAAACAAAACTCTTGTATCTATGCAAAACTCATTAATAAAAAATGAAGGCAGAAAAACTGAAATTAAACCAGAATCAAAATATTGGTTAAAATGTTCATTTAAAAAAGCATCTTCTTATATAAGAAATGTTTGGGGGGGTTCTTTTGTTTTGCTTTTGTGGTTTTATTTTTGTTTTTATTTTGGGGGTGGGGTGGGGGTTGTTTGTTTTATTTTCCTTTGAAAAGGAATCACGGATTCAAAAGCAAATAAGTTATTATAGCAGGTCCCCAAGTGTATCTGAAATGTGATAGTTCAGAATAGATTTCCGTGTTTATTCTGACAAATTTATTATCTCAAGGTATACATATAGCTGATATCATGTATTATTAGTCTTTAGTGAGTCTTCTTACAGATTATGTTAAGCAATGACGTAAGACTTTGTAGAAATGGGTTTTCTGACTTCTCGTAGATTTACATATTCATAGGGCCTCACTGATTTGGTCTGTAATGTCTGACCTTCATTTCAGATGTAGCATAGTATGTCTAAAGTGTAAATGTATTGAAATTTGTGAATGTAATAGGATGAAAAAGAGTAAACATTAGAGAAAATTTGTTGGGTTTTTTTTTTTTTTTGGTGAGTGCATCTCTGAGTGTTTTGTGGGGAGAAAAAAAGAAAGGAATTATTGCTTGAAATAGTATTTTTCTTCCAGGTGAAATCACTCTTTTCCTGGAATATTTTTTTTTTTTTTAATTGAAGGAATTGAATGGGAATGTGGTGTTTGGGGTTTAGTGAAGGTGAGCAGGCTCGTTGGGTAAGACAGTCGGTACAAACCTTGTGCTTTTGCTGCTTTATGCTACTCAGGTAGTCATTAATCCTCACTCTTCCAGACTTTCCAGCTACTTGTACTCAATCAGTCCAACATAATTAAAAGGGTGGGGAGCTACCATGCATGGGCTGTAAATAATTCCTCTTTGTGCTTATCACTCTTAAGGCAGGGATTTAAGTTCCCTAAGAAAGCAAAGATGTTTAAAAAACAGTGCTCAAAGTAGGTAATCTTAGGCAAGATAAATTTTTGATTTTGTACTCTGCCCAGACAGAAATTTGACATGTTCTATGTGCTGGATTTTGCTGGCAGAGTTATACGGTTGATGAGTTTCAGCATGCATAATTCCTATTGCCATACCTATTATATCATAAACTACAGTGTAAGCTCAGTTGGTTTTGCAAATCTGTGTTTTTAGAGTCTGCTGAACTCATGAGCTAGGTGTACTATAGGAATGCAACACACAGTTTTGCCAGTGTTGGCATTCAGACTTTATACTCTTACATTGGCATTCAGACTCCTGCTGTCTCCCTTCCATGGACATACCCTACAGTAAAATGGCATTTGACAACTGAAAATCTTTAATAGAAGACTGTACTCACTGGGGAAAACCAAAACCAACCAACCAACCAACCAAAACCCAAACAAAACGAACAAACAAACAAGAATTAGATAAATTCAGAGTTTAGGGTAAATAGGGTGCATACATAATCTAGAATAATCTAAAAATCTAAAACAGTCAATATCTAGGATCACATCATAGTCAGAAGTCCCTGTTAGGCGACTGTTAGCTTCTTCAAAGTATTTGTAGAAGCTACAGCAGATGCAGTGGACATTTTTATGCACTGTGTGTTTAATAACAGATAGTAGACCCGGTATTAACGCACAGGTAACAATAGGGATCAAATGCTTAATTCAGTACACAATAACTTCTAAGAAGTGCCTTGAAAACTGAAAAGGTGTAGTTAGAGAATCTGCCTTAGCATTAAAGATTCATCGGGATGACCTACTTAGAATGATCATTATGTACCTAAGATCAGGCTACAGTTTTCGGCCATAAATATTACATTCTGTTTCTTTTATTTTAAGGCTGCATTTGTCTTCTAGTAAATGCTTCAGTTTACACTGAATAGCTAAGTAGTGCCATCACGTTTGGTTTCTTTGAGAAGCAGTCAGAGTGTAATCTAGAGGAAGGAACTAAAAATAAAGACGTTTTCCACTATAGCTGAATTTCTATAGTCATTATCAAAGAAACCAGGGAAATATCTTTTAGGGTCTTAATTCATACTACCTGCATGTCTGTGTGATTTTAGGGTTTGTTTTTTTTTTTTTTTAATCAGAAGTACATCATGTCCTTAATTTATCTAATGCAGTCTGTGATTCTTCCTACCCCTCAAAACACTACCAGACTTAAAACTGATGTCTGGAATGTACTTCTGGGACAGTGTTTACAGCTGAATAAGTAAAGGACAGCTTCTTGAAGCACTACCCTGGTCTTCTCCCATGGAGTTCAGGGTGGGCAGTTCACACTACTTTAGCAAAGGGAATAGGATTTTCTTCAGAAGTTTCCAGCCATTTTCTCTTACTCCTGCATTACATCTCACTGCTTCCCTAGCTGTACCACTGCAGCTTTTTCTGAGGTTATGCTTATTAAAATGGTCATGTTTAAAAATAAGTTTTCCCCAAGCTGGAAGGAGGCACTGTTTTCTTGGAAGCACTGCTAAAGAGATTTTAGCCTGCTTTGTCCCAGGGGTGAGGCTTCTGCAGTCCTGTTGCAATGCCCAAGTTCGCCCCCCTCTTAACTTTCGACATATGAGTAATGGTACAGTCTTGTAATTGATTTCAGCTGTTATAGCTATGGATGGTTGCCAAAGAAGGATAGTGCATTTCTCCCCTCCACCTGCTTGCATGCTGCTGCCATTTCCTACTACTACCCCTAGCAACTATGCAGATGTGTGATGAGCAAATAGCCTTGCTAATATGCCTGAAAACTTTGTGGAAAAGAAGAGAATGGTTAGTCTTCAGTCAAATAAGCAAGCTGCTCTTGACTCATTGTGCCTGTATTTGTGATCCTGGGGCTGCATGAAGGGAGAGATGGAAAAGTCCAGCAGGAGAATGTGGATAAAATGTCTTGGTGGTTTCGTGCATGTAGATTGGCTTGAGCTTGTGCCAGACTAACACACTCTGGGGTGAATTAGCTGTTTATAAACAGTTGCTTTGGGCTGCCTCTACTGTTACTATGGGTATGGGGAAAGAGGGATGTGTCTGGGCATGATTTAGGTATCGGAAAACTCTGAAGTGTGGAAGTCCCATCACTTCCACCCACCCAGCTCCCTGTGCTGACTCTTTTAGCACAGAAATACATGTTGCTAAGACTCAGTATGAATGCACTGTGAATACATTGGCCAAGCTCAGTAAGTTTGAGAGACTAGTACAGATTTCAGGAATATTAACTCCATACAAGATTCATGTAAGTGGGAGGCTGGACAGAGGACAGCTATTTCATGGTAGCTAATTGGGAGAAAAGCAGTGTTTTATTACATAGCAGGCAGTTCAAAACACAGCAAGCAGATCAAATGGAGAAGGACATTGCCGACAGAGTTGATATGATGTATGGTGCATGGAATCACTTGTTTTATTTCAGAATAAAACCTGGTATCTAAGACTAGAGTGTAATAAATTTCATTTTGAGAAACAGGAAGGATGTCAGCTTTTTCTTTAGAATATTTTCTTTGTAACCTGGGATATTTGTATCTCTGAGGAAAATCCACAATTGTACATTTGAAGGCCTGAACTATAGTGTTGTGTGCTTAAATAAAGATTGGTATGGCACTGTATCAGTGTGAAAAAGCAACTAAGGAGCAAAGTATTAACTTTTTTCTCTCGTATTTTGCAGGTTGAACATTACGGCTTCACACGTACTTGGGCCTTTTCCACTGATGTCTAACACACAGTAGGTGCTCTACGCGGTATTCAGCAGGTCCCACAGCAGCATAGCAGCAGCATAACAGTAGTCCTTCTTTGATACAAGATGGAGGAAACATACAAAGATAGAACTTCATTAATGAAAGGGGCAAAAGATATTGCCAAAGAAGTGAAGAGGCAAGCAGTGAAAAAAGTGAATAAAGCTGTTGAAAAGGCTCAGGATGGCTACACACAGAGGTCCTACAATCGATTCCAGGATGAGGAAGATGATGATGATTACTATGTGCAAGGAGGAAATTATGGTGTTGAAGCTAATGATGATGAAGGATCAAGTGAAGCAACTGAAGGGCATGATGAAGATGATGAAATTTATGAAGGGGAGTATCAGGGCGTCCCCAGCATGGGAGGTAAAGATGGCATGGTGGCCTTAGGTCAGCCTATGAGTGATGAATATAAGGATCGTCATGAACTGGAAACAGAGAGAAAAGCTGATGAAGAAGAGCTAGCACAGCAGTATGAACTGATAATACAAGAATGTGGCCATGGTCGTTTCCAGTGGGCCCTCTTCTTTGTGTTAGGAATGGCCCTGATGGCTGATGGGGTTGAAGTTTTTGTAGTTGGATTTGTGCTGCCCAGTGCTGAAACAGACATGTGTATACCCAATTCTGGATCAGGATGGCTTGGTGAGTAAAGTCCTTTCTCTGTCTTTGTGCTATTACAAGTGCTGCTTACAGTATGCCTAAATATGTATTTGTCAACACCAATGCTTATATAAAAATATATTTGTATTGAATATATATGATCCACAAAGTGCATGAAGAGCTCTATGGATTTAATGAAGATTATAATTTTATTTTTAGACTTTTTTTTCAGTAAGTATAAATAAATTGCTGAAATGGAAGTCTGCGCAGTAAAACTTAAGAGCAGAGGGATATATTTTGCTCTCATATACAAGAGTAGACATGCAGATGAAAGAATTAAAAACCAAAATAAAACAAAAAAACAAACAAGAAAACAAAAATACCCAACCAACCAACAATAAAAACCCCAAAACAAAACAAAAACCAAACCACTCTCAGAGTATTGGAGTTCTGCTGGGTTTATACAGGCATAATAAAGAGAAGACGATACAACTGTCCAGAAACATACTACATGGGAGCCACTCCAAGGGCAAAGTGGAATGCAATCTGGGAAATGCAAGAAATTCAGGGAAAATGCTGCCTAGCCTTTTCCTTCTTCTTGTCTTTTACTCATTTTATCCCAATGACTGCTCTCTGGCCATCCGAAAAGTAGAATGTTTATTTTGATTAGGGGGACACAGAATCAGTCAGCCAAATGGCTGAAGAAGAGCATAGGGTATCCTTTTTTTTATCTGTTCAGTTGATGGGGATGGGCTGTGTCTCATCTTGTTGCCTATTCTCTCCCGCAGTGCGGCAAAGAGGCAGGCTGAGGCAGCCTTGTGTGACTTGAAGAGAGTAGCAGCGCTGTGAGCAGGTCTGTGCTTGCTCTCCCTGCATATACTCAGGTGCAGCAGATAAAGCAAGGATCTCATGGGGCAGGGCTGTGGAGAAAGGGTGTAGAAATGGTTCCCTGAGGATGAAGGGAGGTAGCAGCATGGGGGCTTTGGATGTGGCAGAAAATGGAGTGTATGTGTGTAGATAAGCAGCTTAGGCCTGAAGGACCCAAGCTATTACAGAAAAGGAGAGTTCTCATAAAATATTTAGGAACCTTTGTCTTCTAGCAGATGTACTGTTTGTTTACTGCATCCTTACAGTGCATGGTTCTGTTGCAACAGTCTCATTTTAACATAATTGATTTAAACTTAAGTCAGTCTCCAGATTTTATTTCTTTGCTCACAATCAATTAGAAGGACCCGAAGATACCAAATGCATCAATATCAGATTCAGAATTTTAGACAACACAAGGCTATTTGTGCTATTTGAGTAACACAGAAGCTTTCTGGGCAGATCATTAAGGCCATGACAGGTTGTATTCTGACATATTGATATGAGCTTTTTGGCTCTATAGGTTTCAATAATGGGGGCTGTAGTTACCCTCATTTATATCTGTAAGCCTCCCTCCATGTGAGAGGATCATGACTGGAAACAGGAGCCGAGTTATCAAATGGCTGAGTCCTTTGAGTCATTCCTTGCCATTTGATCATTTGTTGTTAGAAATCAACTACTCTTATTTGTACAGTACAGTGGTTAAACTTCTAATAAATGAAAATAAATTATCTAAGCTTTTATTGTTAAAGAGGCTGCATACAAATACCCTGTTTGGTACTGTTTTTTTACAAAAAATTACAAGCATTGTATTTGCCATGCTTCAACCTTTGAGTTTTCTGATCTACTTCTTAAAGAAAGAAAGTGCATAAACATGTCTGTATATAGCTATTATGGAGCTCTACTCAGTAGAGAGAAAGAAGAGAAATAAAAACTCCAAAAGGTAACACTAGAAAAATATTACTGTGTCAGTGCAGATAGTAACACAGAATATATTTTATAAAATCAGCACAAGCAGAATGTGATTCTGCTACCCAGTACTTGCAGCTGAGAATATCTTTAAACTCTAATAAGCACTTTTTGTAAGTCCTGTTTATTGCTGGAAAAAAAATTGATGGATCTCGACTCCTTTAATTTTTTGTTATTTTTTTTTTCACTGATAACACAGTTTGTTTCACCACACACACACACTCCCAACAAGTTGAACGGTCAAAGTTGTCATTGTTTTCCAGAACAATAACAATGTAAGTGCAGCCACCACATCTCTCTGCAATTAGTTTGTATGGAGTTATGGAAAAAAACAAAGTTATGCAACATTAAGAGGGAGCTTCATGATGCTTACACATTCAGTAGCTAACTTATCCACATATGCAGTTCCTTCCATTTACATTAAATGTTGGACTGGGAAATAAATCTTTTCACAATTAAGATATTCTGAACACATTAATATTCCTGGCTTCTCCTGTCAAGTTACGAGTGTGGAGAGCATGGTTATAACGCTTTTTCTTTGTTATATGCTTTTTCTTCGCTATATAGAACTGAAATTTTCGGGAAAATATATTTTCTAAAAACAGTGTTTCATTCAAACAGTTGTGGTAAGTACTATGGAGATATCTGGAACTTGGTACGAGAAGTGTTGACACTAAGCTGCCATGAGGCTGCCATGAGGATTTGTAGCCACTTGTTTAGGTCTGACCCATGTCAAGAAGAGCATTAAGGATTTGCCCATTATTAAACTTCTTATGATTCTGTCCTGAGGTATATTGGAGTGACTCCATCAATGTCTAACTAAAATTCAGTAAGCTGTTAAATATCACATGGATACGTGTGTATATGTAAATGATGCTTCCTGACAAAATGAAGGAAACTACTCTGGAAGGCCTAGGTGTGCAAGCAATGTATTCTCATGCCTAAAATACAGAAATTGTAATGGATATCCCTGTATCTTCCTTTTGTAATAATGTAACACTACAATTATATTGCCATTGTGATTTCGCATCATAATTACAGTCTAACTGGTGTCTTACAGACAGGCATACATTTTTTTCATAGTTATAATTCCATAATCCAGAGAGCTTTAATGCTGTTAAAATACTGAAGTCATGGGACCAGCCCTAGGTGTTATAGGCTGGAGCTGGTATACATACACAGTGTTTATTTTCCAGGCAATTTTCTAGACTGTTAAGAAACACACTAAGAACATGTTAATTTGTCATTGAAAAGTACTTATTGACTCAGTTGTAAAAAACTGATTTCTCATATACTGTGCCATGATAGTTTACTAGGGAACTTGAGCTAATTAAAAACAAGTGATAATATTCATAGAGCCTACCTGTTGTTTTTTTTTTCTTTTATTTAACAAGACAATTTCCTTGTAAAAGATATTCATAGTTGTTGAGCCATACAGACTGTTTCTTCCATCTAGAAAAGTCAAGTATCTTGATAAATCACTGGTCTGATAATGGAGTTATTGTAAATGTGAGTAGCAACAAACATCTTACTAAGGAAATGAAAGGATTTTCTGAAACCCCTGTTTAATGTCAAATAATGCCTCGATGTAAAAGGCTTCTCTGATATTGTCAGAATTTAATAATCACACCTTTAATAATATTCATAGGAAAGAAAGTGCAGAGGTGATAATTAAGTCTTTTGGACTGAAATAGCTTTCAGTCTGGGACAACAGATGACATGTCTACCCATTCGGCATTGATTGCCTATTTGCATATTACCTGGCTTAATGCAATGCTTTCTACATTTACTCTATTTTAAAAAAACTATGTAACATAACCCAGCATAATTCTAATCCAGACAATGCTTCCTCTTACATGGGAGGAAGTGCTACCCAGAGGCACAGTAGTTGATGCACTTATAAACTCTGCTAAGGATACCAGGTCATTACTGAGCATTTTCCCCCCAGTTTAAAAAATACTGGTTTGCCAGATATTTGCTACTTAAGGTAAATCTGGTTTTGTACAGATCTTTTGCAACAGATCTATATTCAACATGAAACTTGACAATGACAAATACAAGTCCTTTGCCCGGGAGAGAATGACACAAATCATGGGTATAGGCTAGGCACTGTCTTGCTAGGCAGCAACAGCTCTGCAGAAGAGGATATAGGGCTCCTAGTAAGAAATAAGTTGATGAGTCACCAGTGCCTTGCAACAATGAAAGTTAACCACAACCGGGGCTGCATTGGGAAGAGTGACCAGTAACTAGAGAGAAGTGATTATTTTCCTTTGTTACCACAATGAGGCCACATAGAACTAGCCATGGTTGGAAAAGACCTTTAAGATTATCAGGTCCAACCATTTCCCCAGGACTGCCAAGTCCATCACTCTTCTCCTAGCCTATGTGGATTGTCTCTGCATTTGGCAGAAATCTGGAAGTGTGTGACAAAATGTCGGTGACTAAAGGACTGCAGAACCTGAGTCTGAGTGGGCCATTTCATAAATATTCAGGCATCTAATTGCCTAGTGGGATTCTCCAACATGTCTAGGCACCGTCTACATCACTAGACATATTGCATACTTTTTTAGAGGCATAAATATATGAAAAAATCTGCAATCAAATTGTTATTCTCAGGCTGGTTTTCATTTTGCACATTTGGATAGGTTTCCTTTATGTAATTAGTTGCTGAAACAACAAATATCCATTTTAGAGAGACTTCTCTTGTAGATGTTCAAACTAAAACAATCTTAAATAAAATTTTATGTTGAGCTTTCTTTGCTGTTCAGTGCTTTTGGTACTCATTCGTTTTAACACTTATTAAGTAGCTGAAAGTTCTCTGTGCAGGCCAGATACAGACACATCATGATTTGAAGGGGAGGAGGAGCTGTCTGGGGATTGCTAATCTCTTTTGAGGACTATGATTTAATATGGAAGCTAAAGGTTTTGGGTTTGCTAACTGATGGTTAAGCAAACATTTTATTAAAAAAATAAATAATCTTTTTACGAATTGTAAATAAACGTATTTTTAAAGCTTGAAAAAAGGCCGTGAAAACTAAATGTCTTTATCTTACTTATCAATTATGATTATTCCTTTTTGTGAATTCATTAAACCATTTTTAATCAGCCTTGTTTATTCTACGTTATGTTACACCTGTGGCTTAACTGAAATTCTAACTTCAGGACCAAGTCCAGAATTCAAAGACTGAAAACTCAGGAAGTATAATGCT